TTTCCCTCGTACCATAATTCGAGCGAATTATGGTACGTGGCGAATCCATCACTAAAGTCACGTTTTTAAAGTGCGCTTCTACAAGAAAAACATTATAATTCCTGAAAACAAATTGAATCAGGAACTAATAAGGTCGTTATAAAAAATGGTGTAGAAAATAAGAAGTTTTGTGCAAACTTTATTTTATGTTCAAGAATAATTTAAATGTTAATGCTAATTTAACGTTATTCAAGAAGTATCGTCTACAATGGCTCACCTAGAAGTAGGGTTAGTAAAAAAGTTCATTGTTAATGATATCAGTTTTCTTTTTGTACTTCTTATTTATTTTTTTTGCATTGCTTTGTAAAATAAAAATTATGTCCACCTTATAGTAACTAGGGTTAATATTTTTTGTACGAATGAACTGTAATTGTTAATTTAAAAAATGATGTATACGAGGTTTACACCATTTTACTTAGTTTTTGTATTATTCTTGAACATAAAATAAAGTTTGCACCAAATTTGTTCTTATTTTCTACATAATTTTTTATAACGTCTTTATTAGTTCCTGATTGGACTTGTTTTCAGGAATTATAATGTTTTTCTTGTAGAAGCGTACTAAAAAAAATGTGACTTTAGTAATGGATGTTTTCACTGAAATTATAATAATAATATAATAATAATAATTTATTTATTTAGCTTGTAGCTATGCATACATATTTAACCAATTTTATACAAAACACAAAATGACATAGCTGACATCATAAACAAGAATAACAATAACCGAAATTGATACAAAATGAACTATAATTTATCGACATACAATATTGTAACTTCTCTAACAAATTTTCCCAGACTAACCACTTCTTTCACATGATCAGGTAAAGAATTAAAAAGTCGTATTCCGTCGCTAAATAAGGTTTTTTGCAACCCGCTTGTTTTGTTCTCACATTATATGGGTGAATTTCAGCTCTAGTTGTTAGAAAATTCTGTAGATATGTTGGCAGAAGTCCGTTCTTAATTTTAAATATTAATATAACATTAGCTCTTTCAATCATGTGTTCGACTGGCAGCCACTGCAACGTTCTTTGCATATGTTTTACTGATGTATATTTGTCACAGCGGAGAATACTTCTCATAGTCTTATTATGCAACAACTGCAATTTCCAATATTTTCTTTGGTACAAGAAATTAGCAACGATATACAATAATTAAAATGAGGAAGTATAATCGTATTATAGATTAACAATTTGCTCCACTGACAAATTGAAAGAAATGCGATAAAAAAAACAACTTTTTTGCCAACTTTTCTACAGAGATAATCTACGTGATCAACAAAAGTAATAAGACTCGAATCCAATATTACCCCCAAATTTTATAGTTTTAACTAATTCTATTTTCTTATTATTCATATATACATTTATATCGGTTTCTGAATATTTACTACACATATTCTTTGAGCCTATAATCATACATTTTGTTTTTGCAGAGTTTAGTTTAAGTTTATTAACACATAACCATTTATACAAAATATCAAGCTCACTGTTTAATGTATACGTTACATTTTGAATATTATCCCCAGAAACGGAAATTAATGTATCGTCTGCAAACAGATTTACAAATGAATTTTTCAATGCACAAGTTATATCGTTAATAGGTATACACAATAAATAAATAAATGGTACGAGGGGAAGTTGCAAAAATGTCAGGAATCGCTTTTTCAACATAATGAACTAAAACTTTATTTTCGGGCTAATCTTTTAGAGGGAAATAACTTTTCTTTATAACATTTTCCCCTAAGGTTGAAAATAAAAGTATTTTACTATTGGCCCGATTTGCAGTTTTCGTCTGCCCCTCGTATATAATAAACGTTTTAGGAAGTTCGATGGGCGCTATTTTAATTTGACATGCAGAGATAACTGACAATCGAAGGAATCTATTAAATTTGTACCTACACAAAGTTTTTTCCCATATGGTGCAAACTTTATGGATAACGCTGTAGATATTTTTTTCCAGTGCTCAAAATATTATTTTAAAATGTTTTCTTAAAGTATTTACAAATCGTTGCGTTTCATTATAAAGCTTTAGCTTATCCTCAGTATTCCCCCATTTTAGGGGATATTTTAGCGTTTTACTAAAAAAATTTCCTGGTAGATCGGTTTTTGAGCTGCGGATTAGTATCCAGCATCAAAAAATGCACAAGATCTATGTGCCCATGTCTCTGGTATAGAACTTTTTATTTGTGGGGCTGTGTTATTAATAACATCATTAGTTTCGGTTCGAGTCGGTCGCGAAAGCGAATAAAAACCTGCCCGCGAACCGATGAAGATTAAGGCCGGGTAAACATTTCTGGGCCGGGTAATAATAATAATAATAAGATTATAGAGGGACTTCACACGATTTTACGAGGTCTGGTTGAATAAAGTCGATAAAGACGGCATAATTACCGAGGTATTTCGGTTTTAAGGTCGGCCTCTCCTCTTAATATACCCTTAATTGTCGGGGACCACCGGTGGCGAAGATAAAAAGAAGTTTTTGTCGCCGAGGAGAGCCAAATGAAGCGCGAGGAGATACAAGGAGATAACGGAGGGCTTCCTTTTTGGCCGATACCGGGGGTTAGGGGTTCGAGATTGTTGATATTGCTTGAATTTTTATGCTACTTTCGAAGAAAGTTAAGCCATGCCCTACACTGATAAAAGTTGTAGATCCTTTTTACTATCTTTGCACTGGCTTTTATACACAAAAGATGAAAATGAATTCAACAGTTCAACACACACAATACGCTTACACCAGGAAAATTAGCGAAAATAAAAGAGAAACTCGAAACAATTCCTATCCGCGATATTATTGTAAAATTGTCTAAGGGAACATTTTACAAGACATCTCTCATCTCGTGAGTCAAGAAATTTTATTAGTTAACTTTTCTATTTAAACAAATAAGTGAGGAAAACAGTTTTTTCATTTTGCAGGGAAAACCATCAATTTTAGCGAAAAGTGACTCACAGACAGCTTGCAGGGAATAAAATTATATACAAAATGAGACTTGTTAAATTAAAATCGGTTAATAAACACAAAAAATTATTGCAAAAAACAAAAAAAGTGCCCATTTTTTAATTTCTTTATAACTATCGCATTTATTGTTAATATTTTATAAAACCTAAAAACTATTAAAATTTAAAAACAAAATGTTGCTAAAGTTTTCTTAATAAATCCTCTAAAAATAATAGATGTTATGTTTTATTATCTTTTTCCTTTTTTCTATATCTTGTTGCCTTCTAAACTGATACGCCTATGGATTTTGGATCCCCGCACGCTTGATCCTCCTTACTAGTCTAAGTGCTAACGATGGACCATTCTCCATAATTTCGACGGCGAAGTATAGGTAGCATCGAAATTACCAACGGTATATATCGTGTAATTTTTACGCGTGTTCTTCGTCAAATTTATGTTGTGATTTTTGGATAAACAAAGTTGCTATAGTTTAATTTATTGACAAAAGTGTTGATTTTTATTTTTTTGGAGGTCTCTTACAGATAGAAATAGTATCATTATTCTTGAATTTTGAATACTAGAAATCGAGAAAAATAAAAAGTTTATGCAAGACGTATACTAAATTGTGAGTAAAAAATGGACTGATATTTTTGTCTTCCAGATAATTTTTTAATAAGAAGTGGATCTTATTTGTGGAAGGGCGAAATGGGCGGTGACTATTACACGCCTTCATTATAGCCATCTTTCTCTATCGCACGGATTTCTATGACTTTCTTTATCGCTCTCACGTAACGGCGGATGAACCATGGGGACTTTCCGACCCTGTATATGAAAATTCAATTTAATCAAAATAAGTAAAAGCAATAAATTCTCATTTTTTCAAATGTGAGTATTATTTTTAATTTTGTTTTTTTTTTGTTGCTCTTTCAGTATCATTCATTTTTGTGATATATTTTTCGTCTCTGAACACGGTACCATCGAAAATCTGTATTTAAGGGCGGTTTTTCGTCATTTAAAAAAATATGAGGGATAAAGCAATCCTGGATTCGGATTCAGCGCATCAAAATACATAAATATGGTCTTGCAGTCAGTTTCAGTCGATTTTTACAATTATGTGTAATGCTGATCCCTTCCAAAGCGAGATTTTCCATATTTTCTGCATTTAAAGGCGGTTTTTCGCGATTTAAAGAAATGGAGGCTGATGAAACAAGTATGGCCATGGATTCGAATGACAAAAAAAAATAGTTCCTTTTCGTTGAATTTTGAAATTAAAATAAAAAAAAACTGAAAATTTGAGATACTTAGGTATTTGGTTTATGGCTTCAGATTAGTATTTTTTTTTTAATAAATCTAGAAATCATTCTACATTTCGCCACCGAGTTTATTTTTCAGACAAATTTAAGTCGATAAAAAACAATATTGCCCTAGTTGTGCAATTGATATCATCCAACTGTCATCAAATATTGTATATTTGCTTTAATTATAGTTTTCTGTCTTTTTTAAGGTCATATAGGCAGAAACTCTGTTTTTCTTCATTTTAAATTTTTATATGAGGCGCTCAAAGAAAGTTAAGTTCAACCACGGAAATTCACGTTCAACCACAGAAGTTGATTCAGAACTTATCCAAAATTATCCATCAACAGTTGCTATACACGTAAGCCATTTTTTGACACTTGAAAAACTAATGTAAACACTATCACAACAACGATAAGACTAAAATCGGATTTCATTATTCAGAATCACAAGCGTTCAACGCGAATGACGCTAGAGACTACAATAGCCCACCAATGTAAAGGTTGAAAATACTGCAACTTTTTTCTCGGAAACTATAAGGATTTTACAAAATCTTTTTTTACGGTATTGACTTAATTTTTTATGACACATCTATTTCCATATTTTTTTGGATAAATTGTGAATCACTCTATTTTTTAATTTCATAGAAGTCGAAACAATATTCTCGGAATTATTATATTTAACATTTAAAAATTAACCCTTTCCCCATGTAACAAAAAAATATAAAAAATACTCACAAATCCGTGCTTATCCGAAATGTTGTTGGTAAGTTTCAACTTGTGGAAAGAGACAACCTTCTGCATCCACTGCTCGCCAGTTGAGGGACTGTCCGGATGGATGTACATCCTCTTGGGCATCTCCGGGTCCGCTTTGCCCGCCACCATCCATCGGCTGCAAAATTCAAAACATTCTACAAACAAACCGACTTGTTCGTTTAACGTTCAAAAAGTAGATTGGAAGATCTGACTGAAATATTCGACATGAATAGCTCTATTGAACTAGAGTTACTTTAGTTTAGATCTTTTTCATGAAGGTATCAGTCATCGGTGCTTGCTAAGTAATTTGGTAGATATAAGGGAAAACTGAAACAAGTAGTTCTCAAAAAATGAAATAGTTGCATCATTACTACAAAATTTTGGAAAAACTTGATTGCAACGTGGATTTTACAGCCTGACCTTGTCGATAAAGTGGTGGTCACAAAACGTGAATTCAATGGCATGGTAGAACTTTCCGGTAAATATTTGTCTTCCTCGAGCACCTGATCTGACCCCTCCGCGAGTGTTAAAGTCTTGCCCTTGTACTTTTGCAAATAGATATCGAAGAGGTCCAAGTGCAGGCCTTGTTTATACCATAATCAGTAATTAAATTAAAATTAACTGCGTGTCATAACCCAAGGCTAATTTGCTTCTAAAATTTTTAAACAAATCTCCGATAAGAGCATCTGTGCATTGCCATATTTAATCGCTGTTTAAATTTTTTTTAACCCATCTACCCGAATTACTGAACAAGCAAACTCGGATGTCATGCAACATACTCTCAAACTATTCTACTCTGTTGTCTAAAATGAAGAAATAACAATATTATACGCAGTTCTCATCGGCATGTGGATAACACTATCGCCATATTCGCATTATCACCGGTATTTTGCACGTGGTAAAGTAGCAGATAAAATTGTGTCACTTAAAAATAACGAAGCGCAATAACCATTACTGCAATTTTTCTTTATCACCTGGGGTATTTTTTTCAAGAATGTCGCGGCAAATTATGGGTTGCTAGGTCCTGGTTATCGTGTAATTTTGTTATTTCTTCTGTATCAGTAACTACTTCAACGCATGCTTCGTGCTTTTCTATATACCGGCGCACGCCAGGCGTTTGTTTCGGTGGGACCGTGACGTCACAACCGGAACGAAAACCGAGGCTTGCGCCGCTTCATATTCGACAATGCGATGGCCCGGCCCAACCAGAGAGTTAGTTCGAAATTTTCAATGAAATCGTAATTCGAAATAACGAGAATCACTCGGTGTCTTAAAGTCTCTTAATGAAGAGACTAAAAATTTAATTAAAACTAGTACAAAGTTGCTTTGATTTCACCACTTGTTAAATAAAGTCTCAGCATTTACTTGAATTTAGTGTCCCCGTGTCGACCTTTGTATTTTCAGAAGCTCTCAAATTCAATAGTAACCAATATCAAATGTTTCCGAGGCTTACATGCCTTAAATAGATTTTTTGAAAGACTTGTACAAATCAGAAGGTTGTAAATTTGTTCAATTGGACGAGGCTTGTGTCACGTGAGTAACTAAATCGTGGAATAGTCACAAACTCCTTAAGAGACTAGCTCTAAATTTCCCCAACTATTTAGTTACAATAATAATGTGATAATAACACTCGCTGGTGGTGGAGTAATATTCTCAAAGAAAACAAACCGTCTCATAAATTTGAGACCAACTTTTAACAAATGTGGAGATTGTCAGGGAAATTTAAGACTAAAATTTTTAATTAAGAGACTAGCTATAAATTTCCCAAATTGTTTAGTTTGATGTAATAACATGATACTAACTCTCGCTAGATATTCTAAAAGAAACAAAATTATTATAGAAATTTGGTTTTAAAAATATAAAAAACAAATGTGCAGTGTCGGGGAAATTTGAGACTTAAATTTTTAATTAAGAGACCTTATGGAAATTAAAAGTTTCTATTCTCATGTTCTAGAAAATTTCTTTTTTTGGTATATATTTTTGTAAGGATTGATTTTTTTCAAATATTTAAAAATGTAAATCATTTTTCACTGCGAGACTAATTTGTTTAATTAAGAGACTTTGCTGTTAGGTCTAAGACATTTCTTTAACAAGAAAACTGATTTTAAATTAAGATTACCGTTTGCGGGCTCGTTATGAAGCTATGCTTTTCAATTAAGAGACTTTTTTGTCAAGACGGGGCCGTTTCTCGGTTGGGCCGCGGCCGGTATCGGATCTGTTGGATATGAAATGCAATCTCTGACAACAAATACGGATTTGGATCTAACCTGTTGTGGAATTTATATCTGCAGTCATCTGCAGCGACGATGTCCATAAGAAGGATATATTTGGATTTTTTTTCTAGGCCCGATACGCGTACTTTGTAAGCAGGAAACATGCGCCTGAAACAATTTCGAGATGTGAGTATTATTGACAGTGGATGGTTGTCACCTGTTGTGGAATTTGTATCGGTAGTCGTCTGCGGCGACGATGTCCAGCAGCAGGATGTATTTGGCTTTGAGGTCGAGTCCGGACACCCGGAACTTCATTTGGGGAAACATTTGCCTAGAAAGACCATCAGAAATACACTTTTTTACCCTTAAATACATCGAAAGTGCCATAAAAAGGATACATAACCTACACTTTATAAATGTAGCTTACATAGATTTGCATTTTTGTACACTGAGAAAAGTTGTTTCGTATAAAATCGATCTCGCCTCAGATTGCGACAGAACAAAAAACTTTAAGGAGGTTTATCGGGCACGGAGGTACGTCTAAAGTCTAACGAAGGTTTTTGTAGATTCGCTAGTGACTAAAGTAGTAAGCCTTTAGATTTGGCAACGTTGCACTTGGCTGGCGCGCTCGGCTCGGCGTTTGCTCCCTCCCGTTAAATCATTCTGTTTGTTTGGACACCTGCGAATTTCAAATAATACGCTACGTCGAGATCACGGCGTTGCCTCTATCATGCATATGGAGGATAAGTTAGTCGATAGCAGTTTGAAGGAGAATTATTATAAATTGTGTATCTTACAAGTACCTAATCGATTTCTACAAGCTGTCATACGGTTCCTTAGATATCGGTTTCCTATTTATACAAGTTGCTTTGGAAACTGTTCGTCAATTGTTGCGCATTCTAAGTGGAAAGACCAAAAAAATGTGTATTCTCATAAGACTGTACTAAACCATGAAAAATTATTTTATTAATATCTCGTCTCTTAGGTATCCAAACTAGAACATTTTTTTTAGAAGATTTTCTTCATATTAATAAGCTTATATTAATTTTTTTATGAATATTTGTTTGTCAATTCCGAATCAGATAAACCTCAAGTAAAATGCAATTCAAACTTGACTTCATTTCTGATTAGCGTCTGTTTAAAATTTATGGCGATCAGGATTTTGACCCGCAAATCCCTTTTTAGTGCTTTAAAAATATCAGTCCACGATCAGTAATGATTTACGGCTGAAATTTGTCAGTTGCATCACGTTATCAGTGACTTTTTTTCCTTCAATAGTATCAGGTTTCTCTGTTGCCACATGGTCTCTCGAACAGGGTATTAACAGATAATTTTCGAATCCCAGTGACCTTCCCTCTTGACCCCCGCATGTAGTTGATAACTCTAACAAGAAAGGCGATAGTGTGGTCTTTTTATATTTTATGACCGTTCGCGTTGTTCTGGTTAATAATAAATTAGTGCCATGATAATTTTTACTGTTTTATCTCTCGTTTCGGGGCGAGACTCATTTGTCATTTGTTATTTACGCCTGCTTACCAGTAATCGACACTTGGGAATGAGACATCGTTCTACATAAAACCACAGCCTACTGCAAACAAAGGATAAATGTGCAAAACGCGTCTTTTTCACCACGTATAGATTTTGTCAGCATCTTTCCAAAATTACTCCTTTAAATCTTGAACATAATTAACCCTTATAGGTCACACTAGTGCGATTTCGCACCACCGTTTTTTTTTATAGTTGGCATTTCTCAGGTAGCAGTCGCCGAGGGATCCCCCACCACGATAATTTCTTCTATAGCCCAAACAGTCGAGTCGTACCACAGCTGGATTCCGTCTGTAATTGTCGGCCAAACTAGAGAGTCTGAAAGGTCCGATCGGTGCGAATTCGCACTAGTGTGACCTTAGTGTGGGTAAAAGTGTGACTGAATTTATTTCATATAATCTAGAAATAAACTGAATTGAAATGCAAATTTCCGATTTTTTTCACCTCATTTTCCATGTTGAATGGACTAGAACATTGTTTATTTATTGTTCATAATTTTTCAAACTTTTTTTATTAATAGTTTAATTGCAATATTTGTCAATATTTATGGATAACATTGTTTAAATTAATATTTTTATACAAAAAAGTGCAAAATAAACATCAATTTACAGAAGAGGAGCAAAAATCACAACTTCAATTTTTTATTAACAAATTATTTTTTTAAAACTAATTACATACGATCTCTCGGAAAATTTTTTGATATAAATACGTTATATTTTCGTTAACAAATAAAGAAGACATAAAGGTTCAAAATTGGCAAAATCCCAATTCGCACTAGTGTGTCTTTTAAGGTGACCCACCCCATGTGTGTGACCTTTGAGGGTTGGTTAGAACATCAAATAATTCATTGTTGGAACAGTTGTTCCTCAAGGACCAGTTGTGGGGCCCAATATTGTTGGCATTAGTAATTTTGATGTACAATTTCTTTCAAAACTTATCAGATTACTGTGAAATGCTTTTTTATTACAAAGTGATAATGATCATCAAATTATAATAATTATTTTTTTCTTAAAAATCATCAAGTGTTCCACGAGGTTCAGTTCCGAGCCTTCTTCTCATTTTATTGCATTGTATAGGAGGTAGACTAGGCCATAGTTTTATTATTCTTTTGGTAAATGAAACATTGTTGCAGATCTTATCACCACCCCTGATAAATGAGAAACGAAATTTGTTCGAAACATAGTTCGACAGCGTCGAACACGATGTTGTCAAGTCATCGTGCTTTCGAAACTTTATCTGATCCTTGTAACGACCGATTCTCCGTTTCTCACTGAAAACAAAGAGTCCTTACATAAAGCATCTTCTATGGTTCGTTTCAGAGTCGTAATAATGTGCTTGCTGAGAAAAATTATTTTTAGTTGAAAAATTATTACTTTCAGATGTTCGCCACGATATGACTATAAATTATTTCAAGAATATATTTAGGCGTAAATCCATTGAACAACTTTTTTTTAAGAGACTTCTAAACGTCTAAAATTTGTACATGATGAAGAGATGAATTATTATTCCTTTGTGTGACTGTAAGGGGAAGTAATCGTAGATTAATTATGAGACTTATTTAAGAAAGGAGTCTCATGTGAATTTTGACTTGCTGTGTTTATTAGAATTATTTTTTTCTATCAAATTAAGAAACTACCTCGTTGCTTCTTCGATTTTCTGTAATTAAAAAGTGACGCGTATTACTGTCTCACTTTCTAGATTATTTCAAGAATGTTCATTTAAGTACTATTAATACCTCAAGCAACTTTTTAAGAGACTTAAATTTAGCTGTTAATAGTTTTAAATTTTGCACAAGTTCAAAACATGCATTATTTCTGAGCGTAAGTTGGTTAAGAGACTTGTTAAGAAAAGAAGTCTCATATGAATTAATATCGCCAATGTTGTTCATTGCTTCTTCGAAGGCATAAAGTGACGCGTACAGCACTGTACCGATCTTACGCATCTGCAGCTCAAAAAGCCAGAGCAAATTGATTTTAGGATCCATTAATTATTTTACAACGATCGTAAAACGCAAAACCAACTTGACCTGACCCTCTCAAAACAAATCAGGACTACCTGAGGGGCCTATCCAAATAATTTATTGTTTTAAGGTAGGCCGGGCACCATTAATAATATTGCATTTTGGTTTTATGGTAAATTTTTACCAAAAGAGAGAGGAACGAGAGACGGCAGACGCCGATTTTTAATGGAAAATCATCCGAGAGGGATAGTAGGTCAGTCTCGGAACAAAATGCTGTCAAAAACAAAAGACTTGTGCAACTTATAGCTAACTTCGATTAAGGATAGAATTATACCAGCAATTTACAGTATACAGAAGCAAAATATATCGACGTCTAGTATTCATATCGACAGCTGGCGTTTTTTTTATGAAATTGTAGTGGAATATTGGTCCTGTTGTGACACTATCAACGTATTTTGTTATATATCGATGAACTGCCAAAACAGTCTCTTAATTTCCAAGAACTGGACATGATTATTTATTGTTTAACTTTTAAGTGAAGCGTATTGTAGATAGAAGGAACAGGTGGTTTAAGCTTCTATATCTAATCAGTAGTTTTTTTGTTCGTGCCATAATGGTTTATATGGGTATTTCCTACCCACATAAGACGGCTAATGAAGTCGTATAACAATATTTTTGATTTAGCGACATTGATTGATACTAAGTAGATTTTTTTGATGGTGAATCACCAATACAATAATTTTGTCACAGAATTAGTGCTCGTTTTCTAATTCACTGGCTTGCCTCTGTATAGAACAAGGGTTAAGGAGCAGGTAGTGTCCTGTCCATCTCTGTTTTTTTTATTATCTGCCGTTCAAAGCCAAAACAATATTATATTAAATATACAGTGTGTAATCGGATTGGATACCACACTGTTGTAAACTTTTGTATTGTTGATTTTTCGCGAAAAATATACAGGGCGTCCAAAATATTTTAAAATTTTCCCTAAACAAACTGCCCTTAATTTTTGTTTTCGCTAAAAACTGTATTTAACAAAGTTGTTCGATAACTCAAGAAATACAGGGTTTAGTCAGAAAAGAAGAGTAAGACGCGAATTTTAACTATCTTACTTAAAGCAGACAGAAATTGTAAAAACTAAGTAAGGTTTTGTTGTAAATTTAATAGAATATAAAAATAGCTTGGTAGATCTATTTTCGGGTTATATGTTACATTTTACTCGTGCTGTGTAAGTGAAATTAAAATTACAATCCTTAACTTTCGAGTACTTTCCCAGGTAAAAATATTTTATTTGTGGAAGTATGTTAAGTGCATAAGAAATATTGTCAAAAGTCAGTGGGTCGCTTGATTTTCGGCGAACCGTGGCGCGGCAGAAGGGTGGGGGAAGCGAATGACAGCGAGTCCGAAGAAAATGACGATAATATTCATAGTCCTGCCGTTAAATAAGCGAAATTCACTTGAAAATAATATATTTGACAGTCTCCATTGTTTTTCAACGAATCTTGACGACTTCATTTTTACTTAAAGCTCTTTTCATAAGCTCTCCGAATATGTAATAATTTATAACTATATCACGCTTGTGTGTCGTATATTTCATATTGCAACTAAGGTTAAAAAAAATCGAGGTTGCAAATTTGAAATTTAAAAAAAATTATAGATTATGAAA